CTCAGCCCCCTCGTGTCCCCCCTGCCACGTTGCTGTCCCCAGCGGTGTCCCCACTGCTCCCCCCAGTGCCGTGCTGGTCACTGGGTCCCCACCACGTCCCCCGTGCCAGTGCCCCCCGGTCACCCAGCCCTTACCAGTGCCATGCTGGTGTCGCCAGCCACTTGGTTCCCAAGCACCAAGCTGGGGTGCCCCCGGTGCCCCAGCGTCCCCCCAGTGCCCAGGGTCCCCCCAGTGCCCCCAGCTCCCCCCAGTGCCCCCAGGGCCATCCCGGTGTCCCTGCCACCCCAGTCACGGGTCCCCAGCACGTCCCGCCTGCTGGCACCTCCAGGATGAGCTCCTCCATCTCGAAGTGCCGCTGCGCCGCCCGGTCGCTGCCCACGGGCTCGTGGTAGAGCAGGGCGAGCACCGGGTAGCGCTTCAGCATCGCCTTGTAGTTCTTGCTGGTGACGGCCACCACGCGGTCCACGCCGTCGTACGTGGGGAAGTCCAGGCCCTCCTCGGCTGCCGCCGGCGCCGGGCACGAGGCCGCCAGCGCCAGCAGCGCCAGCGCCCACCGCCAGGCCCCCATGGGACACAGGGACRCGCGGACAGAGGAGCGGCGCCGGCCGGGGACGGTGGCGCAGCGCCCGGGGTGGCTGGCGGATGTCCCCGAGCAGGGGACACACGGGCACAGCCCTGGGGACGGGCGGACGGYGGCCCCTGCAGCGGGAGGGGCGCACGGGCGCGCAGACGGACGCACGGACGCAGCCCAGCTGGCACCCACAGGTCCCGACTGGGGGCTGCACACACGGCTCCCTGCCGGCTCCCGCGGGGGGACGGACGGACACGGCCCCCGGGGGGGGGGCAGCCACTCAGCCCCGGGCAGGACAGACGGACACGGCCCCCAGGGGGGGGGCAGCCACTCAGCCCCGGGCAGGACAGACGGACACGGCCCCGGGGGGGGGGGCAGCCACTCAGCCCCGGGCAGGACAGACGGACACGGCCCCTTCCGGCCGGGGCGAGGGGCACCCAGCCCCGAGGGGACAGACGGACAGACAGGGGGGCAGCCCCCCTTCCGCCCAGGGACCCCAGTCAGGTGCCAGCGTGGCTACAGGGCATAAAAGGGGCTGGGGGTGGCCTGGGTCCCCCCCCCATAGCCCGTCCCTATATATGTATGGTGTCCCCAGGTCCCAGGCTGCCGCCCTCCGTCCCTGCCTGTTTCCTTCCCTCCATCTTCCCAGGCTCCAGCACCATATTAAGAAAGGAAAAAGGAGCCGGAGAGAAGGGGACAGCGCGGGGGGGCGGGAGGAGGGAGACTAAAAATAAGGAGCGGAGCCCGGGGTCACAGAGCCACCGGAGCGGGGGACGCCACGGGCTGTCCCCAAGGCCGCCCCGTGGGCTGCTCCCACCGGCACCCTGGTGGCTCAGCCCCATCCGCAGCCTTGGGGAGCCCCTCGGTGCCCACCAGGCCTGGGGGCTCCCGGGGGGCTGGTCCCCTCGCCGGCCCTGTGGGTCCCTTGGGTGCTGAGTGCTCCCAGCCTTGGGCGCGCTCAGTGTCCCTGCATGGACACGGGGACACGCCAGGCATGTCCCCAAGGCCACCAGGACGGGGGGCCAGCACCCTGGCAAGGCTCTGGGCACCCCTGGGGACGAGGGCTGCGGGGTTCCCCCTCCCCGCAGCCCCCAGCCCCATGGCCACCAGCTGCCCAGCTCTGTCACCGGCCGGCAGGAGGAGGGACATGATATTTTGTCACCTCTGTCCCCTTGGATCAGGTATCCGCTGGGGCTGCTGACCACTGGCTCAGCGGAAAAGCGGGTCCCCCCAAGTGGGGGGCCTGGACCCCCGTCCTCATCTCCAGTGTCGGGTCTCCCTGTTCCCCCTCAGTGGGCACCGATCCAGGCACCGGGGACCCCCCTGGCACCCCCAGCTTGGGCCTGGGCACCTCGCGGAGGGTGCAAAGTGGCCCCAGGGGGGCACAGGGGCTGACCCCCCCCCCATGCCATGCACGGGCTATGGGTGTGCAGGACCCCCTATAGGAATAGAGCTGTGAGGTGCYGGGGACCCCCCGGCGCCGGAGAGTGGGGGATGTGAGAGGCCTGTATGGGGGTGGGGGGTGGCCGGGACCCCCCCGTGCCCGGAGACGTTGGTGCTTAGGGCGTCCTCTACCCCCATGACTTGGGCTATGGGTGCCCAGGACCCCCATTCATGGGGGTGTGGGTGCCCAGGACCCTCTGTGCAAGGACTGCGGGTGCCCAGGACCCTCTGTGCAAAGACTGTGGGTGCCCAGGGCCCCCATTCATGGGGATGTGGGTGCCCAGGACCCTCTATGCAACGACTATGGGTGTCCAGGGCCCCCATTCCTGGTGAACGGGTGCCCAGGATGCCCAGGACCCCCATGGTCTGGTCTATGGGAGCGCAGGACCCCCACGGAGAAGAATAAAGATGCGCAGGACCCCCATGCCCAGGGACGTGGGGTGTGCAGGACCCTGGGGACGATGCTGTGGGGTGCCCGGGCCAGCGGCCCCTGTTCCCCGGCACCAGCCCGGCCGCGGTGGCCAGGCCACCCCGGCCGCCCCGCGCTCGTCCCCGGTTTCGAATGACCCTGAGTCGGAGCCTCCTTATTTTTAAACGGCGTCAGACACCGAAACCCCACGGGCGAAACCTGAGCGGGGCTGGAGCCGCCCCGCCGCGCTGCCGACTCAGCAGGGCCCCGGCGTCCGGGCGGGCGAGGGTCCCGCCGGACCCCCGGTGCTCCCGGCTCAGCCGCCCTCCTCCCCAAACCCCCATTCCCATGGGCGCGAGGAGGCCGTGCTGGCGGCACACGCAAAGGGGAGCGCACACGCGTGTGCAAGGGCGCTTGCTGCACACAACACGCGTGCACACACGTGCACACACGTGCCACCAGCACCGGTGAGGCCTGCGCCGGGGCCACGCTGCCTYGGGGACGGCGAGTGCCCAGGGCTGGGGACAGGTGCCCGCGCCCGCGGGTAGCCGCGGGGCCACCCGGTTATTTATACCCAGCAGCTGCCCGGATTTGGGGTGGTGAGAAACCCCTGGGGGGGGGTTATTGGTGCTGCCCCCTGCCCAGGGTTTGGCCTCATTGGGGGTGCCACCCTTGGGGACACCTTGGGGACACGGGGGATCACAGGCTTATGGGAAGGAAGCGGGGTTTGGAGAAACGSGGGATGGGGAGGTTAGGGGACAGAGAACATAAGGGCGTGAGGGTTCTGGGGACATGGGGGACCAGAGGAGCAAATGATACACGGAGGGTATTGGGGACATGGGGGTCATGTGGGGACATGGAGGATATAGGGGTTTATCAGGGCACCTGGGGACCACAGGGCATGGAGAACTTTGGGGACCATGGAGGACATGGGGAACATGAGGGACACGGGGGCACTGGGGACCCTGGAGGACGCAGAGGTCACGGGGGACGTGGGGGCTATCAGGGCACTTGGGGACATGGGGGATGTGGAGTCGCTGCAGAGCTTGGGGACAGAGAGGACACCACGGGTCACCAGGGGCTGTGTGTGGGGCAGGGGGCACACGGGGGCCTGGGGGGCAGCAGCTCGCGGGACACCTGTGGAAGGAGGGGGTCACTGCCCCAGCCCCCGTCCTTTGTGTCCCCAAATCCCTCCCCCCGTCCGTCCTTGGTGCCCCTTGGGCCCCCAGGCTGCCCCATGGCACAGACACGGCCGGGGTGGGCACACGCCTGGCAGGGCTAAAATCATTTTATTGCTCCAAAAGAGGGGCCAGGGCGGGGGGGGGCTGTGCTCACCGTGGGGGCATCGGGCTGGGGCAGGGCCGGACGCCGGGGCCCCGCGGCAGGGGAGGGGGCTGGGACACAGCCCCCCCAGGCGGTGCCAGCCCTGGGGTTAGTACCGGGGCCACAGTTAAAGGGTGACGTGGGCAGCGATCGGGGGGGTCCCAGCACCCCTGGGGGGGTCCCGGTGCCCCCGTTGGCACCTAGTAGTAGGTCTCCTTCTCCACCCAACCTGGGGAAAGGGCGGCGGGTTAGTGGGGGGCTGAGATGAGGGTAACCCCCCTCCAAAATGTGTCCCCCCCACACTTTAGGCAGCCCTACCCTCCTGGCACCCTCCCTATGAGTGCTGCCCCCCGCCCTTGGGTGCCCCCAATGCCCTCTGGTGTCCCCCCTGCCCTCAGTCACCCCCTGGGTGCCCCCCAGTCCCTTTGGGTGCCCCTTCCCCTCCTGGGGGGCGCTCCCCTTGTTCCACGAGTGCACCCCATTCCCTTGGGGTGCCCCCCTCACCGTTGGGTACTCCCAACTTTGGGGGCACCTCCCCCTGTTGGTGCCCCCCAGTGCAATGCCCGTGCTGGGGGCACAGGAGGGGACCCCGTTGTCCCCAGGGGGACACGGTGACACTCACCGCCGGGGTAGCGGCGCAGGATGAGCTTGCGCACCTCGTCGTAGGCGAAGATGAGGAGGCTGTAGGGGAAGGCGCAGAACCACCAGGTGACCCTGCGCGGGACAGCGTTAGTGCCACCGTGGGCGGCGTTAGTGCCACCGTGGGCAGCGTTAGTGCCACCGTGGGTGGTGTCAGTGCTGCCGTGGGTGGTGTCAGTGCCACCGTGGGCGGCGTTAGTGCCACCATGGGTGGTGTCAGTGCCGCCGTGGGCAGCGGGGGACACCGTGGGTGGTGTCAGTGCCACCGTGGGTGGTGTCAGTGCCACCGTGGGCAGCGGGGGACACCGTGGGTGGTGTCAGTGCCACCGTGGGTGGTGTCAGTGCCGCCGTGGGCAGCGGGGCCGCCGCGGCGCCGGGGCACTCACTTGAGCGGGTACATGCGCAGCGCCACCCCCATGCCCGGGCAGTAGGACAGGAACGCGGCCAGCGCCGTCTCCTCCAGCAGCCCGAAGATGAGGATCTTGTTCCTGGGGGAGAGCCGCGCTTGGGGACGCGCCGGGGCCCGCGCCCGCCGCGGCGGCCCCCCGCGCACGTCGCCCCTCGGCCGCGCCAAGGCC